CCTCCGGACGCACCCGGACTCACCGCCTGGGCGCCCACGGCTCTCCCAGCTCGCTTGGTGCAGTACCCAGTGCGCAGGCGTGGGGCCACGCAGCGGACTGCAACTCCCAGCAGGCCGCAGGCTACCCTTCCCTGCGGGTGGGGGGCTGGAAAGAAGATTGCTGACGTTGGAGGGGCTGGAGCTTTTCTTTGGAAGGGATTCCATTTCCGGTCTTAGAGGCTTCTAAGTCCCAGGGGTTTGGGTGGGGCCTGTCATATTCTTGATCCTAGCCAGGGCTTCTCTCCCATCAGCTCAAGAATACTAGGAGCGGTTGGGAATGTAAACCAAAATAAATTTTAGACTGTAATAAAGAATAAAAGGCTTTTATTTGCCCCAAAAGGAGCTGCAGCTCAGGAGACACAGATTTAGGTAGCAACTTCTATTTTGCTCCACTGAGGCAAAGGGGAGGCTGTCTTTTATAGTGCAAGTTCTTGCTCAGGTTCTCAATTATGTCTGCTTTATGTAAATGAAGTATCCAAATATGAAGTTCTGAATGGATAAGGCAGTTCTTAGTCCAACGGAGGAAAGAGGAAACCAGTGTTTCCCTGTAGTGGTTGACTGAGATAAACAAACCAGGCAATGTGCCGGAAGCTCAGAGTTCAGTCTGAACTCCCCTGGGGAAGCCCCTGTCAGCAAATAGCTGGTAAGCTCTTATTATTTATTAAATTTGGGCTCTGGGTTGACCATGGGAAGTTCATCTCAGCAGATAAATTCCTTCTTGGAGTCCACATTGCCCTCCTGTAAATCTGTTATGATGTGGCCAGTGATTCTCAAACCTCTATATGTAGGATGAATTTCTAGGGAGAGTTTGTTAAAAATTATATTTCTGGGACCCATCCCAACACTCTGAGGCACTGGATCTCGCCATAGCTCTAGAATTCACAGTACTGGATGACACTCCAACCAACCAAGCCACACCAACCAGGGCTAGAATTCCCATTTTAATAAGTTTTCTTTGTGACTCTATTCTTTGGCTCATAGCTCATAATGGCCTTTATCTAACTTTGTATTTTCTTCTCTTGAAGACCAGAGCTTCCACCTATTCCTCTCACCTTTCAGCTACCACCAGAGGGTTCATAGGTTTTGAGGTTTGCCTGGTGCCCCACCTCTATTGTCTTCCAATTGGTTCCTTGCTGGTCCCACTCCTGGAGTCAGATTTTTCTGCCTGGGTGGTCAGTGGTGAGTTTTAGGGCAGTCAGACGCTATGTTGTCATTTGGTAAAGTTGTTATCACTTTGGTTTGGAGCCGGTACTATTGGTTTTTGGACACCAAACTTTATTTCTGGTACTTCCTGTGTGAGAGCAGCATCCAGTCCTGCATGGGTTTGAGACAGAGAGTAGAGAGCTGTCTGCCATTGTGTCTTTCCATGGCAGGTGCATCACCTCTCTGAACCCACAGAAACCAAAGTATTGGAAACAGCTCCACCAGGGACAGAGTTGTGTTTATGGACTGGGACATGAAGCCTTGGCAACGCTGATTCCTGCACGTGCTGTTTATTGTTGCAAGAAATGCTAGGGGAAAATTAGCCTGCAGTTGAGGTTGATTTCAAGGCCAAAATGGTCCAGGAGTCTTACAATGGCCTGACCTGGGCTCCCAGAAGCAAAAAGGGCTCCTGATTGTGAAACTGAAGATATTCCTGCACCTGGAGCCAAGAGCTGTTTCTGCTGACCAAAGATCCAGCATGAAGGCTTCCTGTCTGCACTTCTGTGGGTTCTGACATTGGCCCCTGGAGAAACCCTTAGGTGGCTCCTGGAGCTTTGCCATGGGTCGGTGGCTTTGGCCTGAGATGCACACAATGAAGCAGATCTTAGAGCTTCTGATGTTGGAGCAGTTTCTGACCTTCCTGTCCCAGGAGAGCCATAGCAGGGTGCAGAGCTGTAAAGAAGCTGTGACTCTTAGAGTATGTGCAGAGAGAGCTTGTGAGACTGAGGGAATAGATGAGGGAGAAAGAGGTTTCACCTGTGGTTGGTTGGGCCCAAAGCCTGTGACATCACAGACTCTTACTTCCCCACTCAGATTGTCTTGATTGCCCTGAGTAGACCTTACATGGCCAAGTGACATTTTATAGTTTAATCTGGAACTTTCATTCTCCAGATTTCCCACCAAGCACACAGAGTGAATAGTGAAGGGTGCCTGTTTCCATGGAGAGACAGAGTTGCTGCTGCAATAGTTAGTGTTAGCTCTGGAGTTAGATCAAAGGGGTTCAAGTCCTGTCTCTGCTGGCTGCCCACTAGCTATGTGACTTTTGGCAAGTTACTATTCCTCCTTGGGACTCAATTTTCCCCTTGGTAAAATGGCTTCCGGGATTATTTTGAGGATTAGAGGGAGAGAGTAGCCTGTCTATTTTGATCACACTTCTGGAAGGTAGTGCTTAAAATTGTTAGCTGTTGTTATATTAAGGTCAGCAGTCTGGTCTCATCTGCAGAGCTGGGTCTTAATGGTGAACATGGAAAAAACAGTTTGGCACTGAGGCTTTGAGGTCAGTGCCCCCAGATCTCCCCAGTTTAGCTTATCCAGAAGTGAGGAATGGGAGTATCTGGGAAAGGTGGAGAGTGAAAGAGGAATGAAGTACATCAGAAGATCTACAGGGTAAAGTGTGTACTCGCAAGGACCCTCTCTCCATACTCTCCACATACAATCACGTATACACATTTTTGCTCGTGGGCATGGTGTCAAAAACCCCTTCTAGTTTAAACCATCCTTTTATCTTCTTGGGTCCAACTGGTTTCCTGTTGAAGGTTTACCCTCAGATTCCCTTAATAATCTCCCTTTCTATTGGGCCCTGTTATGATGATGAGTGACAGCAGGTTGGCTCCAGGTTGCAAATAATGGGCTGGGCCCTAGCTGGTTTGGCTCAGTGGATAGAGAGTTGGCCTGCAGACTGAAGGGTCCCAGGTTCGATTCCAGGTTGGGGACTCAATCCCCAGTAGGGGGTGTGCAGGAGGCAGTCAATCAGTGATTCTCTCTCATTGATGTTTCTCCCTTCCTCTCTTTGAAATCAACAAAAATATATTTAAAAAATAATGGGCTGGGAATAGAAGTGCTTTTGGAAAAGACTTTGCCTCAGGAAACTGCATGAAAATTACTGAGCTTCAAGCTGGAGCCCAGGGACACTCAGAGAAGCTGTGAATTCTAGAGTAGTTGCTACTTCTTGCTCACTAGGTCCAATCAGCTTATCATCATTAATGTAATAGAACTTTGAGATGTCTTGTAGAAGAAAAGATCGATCAAGATCTTCACAGACTAAATTATGACATAGGGCTGGGGAGTTGATATATCTCTGATGTAGGACAGTGAAGATGTAAGTATTACTGGCCTTGCCAGTTCAAAGCAAACTGCTTCTGGTGGTTATACAAACAGTGAGAAAAAAGCATTTGCAAGTTCAATAGCTGCATAACAAGTACCAGGGTATGTGTTCATTTGCTCAAGTAATAAAATCACATCTACAATAGTAGCTGCAATTAGAGTCACTGCCTGGCTAAGTTTATAATAAACTACTGTCATCCTCTAAGATCCATCTGTTTTCTACACAGGCTAAGTAAGCGAGTTGAATGAGGATGTAGTGGGAATCACCATCTCTGCATGTTTCTGGTTCTAAATGGCATCACTAGACTCAGAAATCCCTCCAGGAATGTGGTATTGCCTTTGGTTTACTATTTTCTTAGATAAAGGAAATTCTAGTGGTTTCCACTTGGCCTTTCTCACCGTAATATCTTTCACCCCACAGGCCAGGGAACCAATGTGGGCATTCTGTCAGTTACTGAGCATATCTATTCCAATTATATATTCTGGAATTGGGGAAATAACCATTGGATGAGTTTAGATACTTAATGGACCCCCTGTGAAACAGACCTGATCCATTGATCACCTGACCTACATAAACCACCACTCTGACTGGTAGACCCCAGAAACACTTTGAGTCTTCTGGAATTAGTGTCAATCCAGAAGCAGTGCTCAATACTCCCTGAAAAGTTTGATTATTTTCCCCCTCATGCACAATCAGCCTGTTAAAAGGCCATATGTCTCTTTGGTAAATCCTGGCAGAAAGATTTGCAGTATATATTTTTGGCAGTATGGAGGGGGTCCTTCCTTCAGAGACCTGGACTCCCCTTTCTTTTTTTTTTCTTCTGGATGCAAGAATGGTTTAATGTATGCAAATCAATCAATGTGATCCATCACATTAATACAATGACAGAAAAATATCCTATGATTATTTCAAAAGACACAGAAAAAGCATCTGACAGAACTCAATATCGGTTCATGATAAAAACTCTTAATAAAATGGGTACAGAACATACCTCAATATAATAAAAGCCATACATGACAAGCCTAGAGCTAACATCATACTCAATGGAAAAACAATGAAAGCTTTTTTTCTAAGATCAAAAACAAGACAAGGGTGCCCATTCTTACTCAACACAGAACAGAAATTCCTAGCCAAAGCAATCAGGTAGATAAAAGAAATAAAAGGCACCAGAACAAATAATAAGAAGAAGTAAAATAGTTTCTACTTGAAGATGACATGATTTTATATAGAGAAAATTCTAAAGAATCCACCAAAAAACTATTCAATCTAATAAACAAATTCAATAAAGTTGCAGCATACAAAATTAACATACAAAATCAGTAGCATTCCTATACACTAACAATAACTTATCTAAAAAGAAATAAAGAAAACAATCCCATTTACAATACTATGGAAAACAATATAAAATACTTAGAAATAAATTTAACCAAGGAGGTTAAAGATCTCCACACTAAAGTTGCAGCATACAAAATTAACATACAAAATCAGTAGCATTCCTATACACTAACAATAACTTATCTAAAAAGAAATAAAGAAAACAATCCCATTTACAATACTATGGAAAACAATATAAAATACTTAGAAATAAATTTAACCAAGGAGGTTAAAGATCTCCACACTGAAAATTACATAACATTGATAAAAGAAATTGAATACAAAAATAAATGGAAAGATATCCCATGTTCATGGATTGAAAGAATAACATTATTAAAATATCCATACTACGCAAAGCCATTTATAGATTTAATGCAATC